ACCCTGGCTACGCCCATGGTTTGTTGGGATTGAATTTAGCCACAATCCCTGGTTTGGATAGTGAGTGGTTCTCACTAAGCCAATGATTGCGGTTTTATGTTCCCACTAAGAGAGTGCTGTTGTGCTCAGGTCCTGCTTTCAGACTTCCCATAGGCATCTGGTTGGTCACTGTAAGAAGAAGATGCTGGACTAGATGGCCCATTGTCCTGAACCAGTAGACTTTTCTTGTGTTCTTTTTAGCTAGACTGTGGCTTAAAATGCCATGCACGCCATCCTACTCACTTAGTGTCCTGCTTTGCAGACCATGGTTCATTAAACTATGATTTATTAACCATGGCTAAGTGATATGCGTCCATTGGCCATGTTCAGATGTTATGATAAACTGGTTTATTATGAGATGGATCAGCCTGTGCAAGCTTTCAGCTCGTGAGCTTTCCACTCCTCCAGCGTGACTGTGAGAAGTGGATTGGAAGTTTCACTTCTGTTCCTGATTAATAGCTGTATAGTGTTACACCCTGTGGTTTGAAGCTATCTTGTTTCAAACAAACCCTAGCTATCGTTAAGCATAGTTTTTCTTTGTTCAGATGGCATAACAGGTCATGGTGAATCAAACTGTAAGAAAAAGCTTCTGAGCTCCTCATGGCCTTGACAGAGGAGGTGAGAGCGGTGTGTGCAAACCAAGGCTCACACAGGCTCATTCCTGTCATAATCACAGACTCATAGAATTGTAGAGTTGGAAGGGACCCTGGAGGATCATCTAGTCCAGCCCCCTGCAATGCAGGAATATGCAGTTGTCCCATACAGGGATTGAACCTGCAACCTTGGCATTATCAGCACCACGCTCTAACCAACTGAGCTATCCAGTGTGTCAATAAGCTGTGGTTTATTATGAGGTCTGAACACATGCAATCATAGGTGGAAGTCTCAGTTGTTGATTAGCATAAATAGATGTTCATGATTTATTGCAGTTTCCATTCCATATGTTAAAAAGTAATCAAAAACAACTATTAACTTAGAGCAAACATGCTAAGGATTGTGACAGTCAATGGTCCTTTAAATCTTGTTCCAGATGTTGCTGTCTTTTTATTGGTCTTAAATGCCTTACTGCAGAAATAGAAGCTTCCCCTTCTGATTAAACTTTGTCTTTTATTTTCTCCCTGACTTTGCAGGCTTCTCACTGCCCGTCTCTCGCCCCCTGCTGCTCTACAGTGGTGGCAGTAGCAGCAACAGTGAGCTGAGGTTTCCAGGGCCCCACGGGAGGGTCAGCAAAGAAAACGAGACAGCAGTAGGAGGGCTGCTTTCAGCCGGCAACGCCACCGTGGGGAAAGTGGCTGGCCCACCGGAGGTACACCACAGAGCCAAGCGCTGCACTTGCTACACCTACAAAGATAAGGAGTGTGTTTATTACTGCCACCTGGACATAATCTGGATCAACACCCCAGAGTGAGTGAGGAGGTTTGTTCTGAATAATGTGTGAAAAGTGAATCTCCCTGCTGTTTTATATACTCCACATGCACTGTTGCATGTGGAGTATACACTTTAATCTGCATAACGGTATAGTCTGGTTATGCTGAATGAATAAGATACGGTATTAGTTTGTATACATGTCTTAGATGTTGTTTATGTAGCTCTTCTGTGGAGTTTGGCTGCACTTCCAATGGCTGTATATAACTGACTGTGTGTGCACCTGTTTATACACAGTTTGATTTGTATCGTCTAGCTAGTGTACCAGAAGCTGAAAATAGGATAAGATAAAGTGAATCAAAGTGGAGTAGCCTCCAAGCAAGGAACCAATGAGTAAAACTATTCATATGATAGCCCTAGTGAATTGTGCAAAGGCAACTGTTGGATAGGAAGGCAAAAATGGAACAGGGTCAGTAGCTGATCTTACTGGCATGAAAATTCCTTCCAGCTCTGAGTCTGCAAATAATGGCTTGGCTTTCTTACCAGTCACTACTTATTCTCACCCACAGTGGCATAGCATAGGTTGCTGGTGCCCCAGCAGGGCAAGTGCCCCCCCGGTGGACTGGGCAGCCCAGTGGTGCTGGACCACCATGCAAGGAAGCTGCCTCTGCAGCTCCCTCACATACCAGACTCCAACGAATGAGTGGCGCACCTCCTCTCCTGCCCCTGGGTCAGCCTGAAAGCTCTGGCATGGCAGCGTTGGGCCATTGTGTGAGGAACTTCCTCATGTGCCGGAGCCCAGCAGAGGAGAGGTGTGGTAATGCTGGTTCTTGTCTTCTCTAAGTAGAAATACAAATGCAGTTGGCTGTATTCCAGTGTGGAAGGGAGAGGGATTGTGAGCTGCTGGATGTCCTTTTTCGCCAGAGTGCCTGGGGTATTTAACTGAGCAAGTGGATTTGTAGATGCCTGCTTCCTACCCTAAATATTGCAGTGTCTTCACCAGATCCTGGAGTATGAAGTAAGTAAAGTAAAAGTAACGGACCCCTGGACAGTTAAGTCCAATCAAAGGCGGGTGTGGCACTCATCTTGCTTCTCAGGCCAAGGGAGCCTGTCCACAGACAGTTTCTGGGTCATGTGGCCAGCATGACTAAACTGCTACTGGCTCACGGAAGACCATGATGGAAACGCCGTTTACCTTCCCGCTGCAGCGGCACCTACTTATCTACTTGCACTGGTGTGCTTTCCAACTGCTAGGTTGGCAAAAGCTGGGACAGAGCAATGGGAGTTCACCCTGTTGCACGGATTTGAACTGCTGACCTTCTGATTGGCAAGCCCAAGAGCAGGGGTAGGCAACCAAAGGCCCAAGGGCTGGATGTGGCCCATTCGCTTTCTCAATCCGGCCCAAGAGGCTCAGTGGTTTAGACCACAGTGCCACTGAACCTATAGATGGAATTATTTTTGTAGCTGACAACTAATTTGACAAAAATAATTAAGATGCTGAAGTATTACCCCAATAGTGTTTACATAAAAATGGAAATATTTTTTTATTTTTCATTTTTACAATGAAAGTGAGTGCTGGAAAAGGTTCCCCTTCTCTTTTTTGGAGGAAGCTGCTGAATTTTTGCATCTGGCACATGTTAAAGTTAGGAGTTAATTTTTATATCCCAGTCTTTTCATTAGACATTTCAAGAATTCCACAAAAATCTATGGGCAGCATAGTCTGGCATGCAAGAAATACACACACACACACACACAAAATTCCCTTACTCTTTCCCCCCTTCCTATAAATTTGTAATATTACTGCTCAATTCTGCCTTGCTAAGACCACAACTATGTCTAGTTCTGGGTGCCACAATTTAAGAAGGATATAGACATGCTGGAACGTGTGCAGAGAGTAGCCAAGATGATCAAGGGTCTAGAAACAAAGCCTTATGAGGAACGGTTGAGAGTGTTTGGTACGTATAGCCTGGAGAAGAGGAGACTGAGAGATATGATATGCTACATGAAAGATGGAACAAGCTTGTTTTCTCCTGCTCTGGAGGAGCCAAACCAATAGATTCAAGTTATAATAAATATTCTTTGGGGTTTTTAAGCAGAGATTGGATGGTCATTTGTCATTTATGCTTTAGTTGAGATTCTTGTATTGCAGGGGGTTGGACTAGACGACCCTCGGGAATCCTCCCAAATCTACCATTCTGTGATTCTACGATTCTAGAACCTCTATCACAAATACTTTCTACTTGGGATATTCTTTTCTGGTGGTTGGTTCACTGGAGTTACACTGGGCTGCTAATGATATTATTACAGGCTTATAACTAGCCACTTATCTAATCATCTGTGGTGAAGCATTGCCTTCAGGCAACCAGGGAGGGAACACTGTATTTATTTTTCTTTCAACCATCCCTTGGCTGACAGTGGCTGCTTGGAATGTATAATGTTAGCAGGTAGGCTAGAAAAAGGGTTGTAGGTAAGCATCTTTTGTAAATTTATTTGCAGGGCTATATTTATTATTACTTTGACATGTGAAATTGCTAGGTGCTTACTATAGTAGGAATAATAATGTTATGCATTTAACATATTAGGCACTGTATGAAAGAAAAAAGATTTCTTATTCTTATTTCATCATGTGACAAAAGGTAAAAAGATGAGTATATTCAGGTTAATTAAAGTTTTTAATTATTGACATATATTCTCTCCCCTCTCCGAAAGGCTTAGCCTGTCCACTTCCCCTGTCTTGCCACTCCTGTTTACAATTTTGGACTGAGTTTCTTGGGGCAGGCATTTGTATTCATACAAATTGTAAAACACCCTGCACATTGTTTGCATTATTTAAATAAACAAGTGAAACAAACAATGGATGAGCCATATAACAGTTGTTTCCATCTTGGCTTGGACTACATAGAGCTTCAGACTGCAAAGACTGCATAGTGCTCCCTCAAGAGACTAGTTAATCCCTGCCCATAGAAAATGAGTGTGTTGACAAGATTCTAGCATACCCTTCTCTCTTGTGTTTCTACTAGGTTTCTCTGTGTGAAAAGACAGTATGGCTTGGTTTCTTGTTTTAGACTAAGAACGAGTAGCCCTTTATGCATCCTCCAAACTGTTGCCATTGAGTTTGAAGATTTATACCCTACCTTTCAGTCAAAGGTTCCTCAAGATCGCTTAAATCAGATTTCAGTACTATAAAAGATAAAAACCCAAACATACACACATACACACATAAGCCAGCATCCCACAGGCTGAGCCACACCTTGGAGGGGCTTAGAGCTTCGAACTCTGCATTGTATCCTTCAAAATAATAATAGTGCATTTTAGCATGTGCAGAATGCCATTTCCATTGTTGTTAATAGACCACGTTTTCCCCAGACCAGGAATTAATGCGGTTTATAGATAAAGCAGATATTTATCACTGAGTATGAGCTATGCGAACCTCTAAGGTGGGCTGTGGTTTCCAGGTGGTTTCTAAGCAGGGTGTCGTGTCCTAAATTGCACTTCTTTCAGAGCATTAGTTTAGAGTGGCTTAAGCTGTTTTATGTACCTGAGAAACAGGCAAGTGGAAGCAGGAAAGAGGAAGCATTTGATTATTAGATGTTACTTGCCTTGTTTTTTAACAGCATTCCATTCATGGTGATCCATGGGACAACAATTCGGAAGTGCTAGTGTAGAGCCTCTGCAGTTCAACATGCTGCAAGAAAAATATTGTGTCAAGGCACACTGAAAATGTGTACAAACTGTGTTCTGCTTGAGCAAATGGCTAGAGCATGCTATACAACTGTTGCCTTTCTGAAAAGCTGGATTCCTGAGCTCTTGGGACATAAGACTGCACTACTGAACTTTTATTGAGTTTATATCTGTTTACTAGTCATGATCTTTCCCATTTGATCCCTACAAACTATGATTGTAGTTTGATGGAAAGCAGAGAATTCCCTGTTTGATAGGCCCCTTGGCTATTTCATAGAGCTACAATTCCAAGAGGTGTTTGAGAAGAGGCTATTGCAGTTTTACTTCTTGGAATTTGTAGTATCAATACAAGCTTAGGTTACAAAGATATAAAATCGGAATGTACTTCATGTTTTTGTTGTAGCTTAACACAGATCACAATGCCACCTTGCATTCTAATGCCAAAGCATTGTGGAATAGATCAGTGGTTTCCAAACCGTTTTCCCTATGGACTACTTGAACATGGCTGAGGGTATTAGTGGACTGATTCTTCTGCCTGTTGTAGCAATTGTAATATGCTGTGTTATATGCTATATGATTTTTATTTTGTTTCTTTATTGCTTATAATATTTCTTATATATTGTTTACAATATGAATTCCATAGAATTCAAATTGTAATATGTTAAAATACATTATAAGAAACAAAAGCAGCACTAGAGTTAAACTGGAATACAGATTACTTTGACCCCTCATGAAGATGCCAGTTGCAAAAACACTGCAGTCCTTCAGATCCATCCAACTTTAAAATACACTTGATTTGTGGCTTGAATAGTTAGCATTTAAATTCCATATACACAGAAAATGTGTGACACCCAGATGCATGTTTTCCACTTTAGTACCCAGTTCTCACAGATGAACGCCAGGAATTGAAAACAGTGCCCGCTGTGTCATAAAGAACTATATAAGCATACATTTTCAATTAAAAACTCCTGTGTAATAGCAAATAACTTCATAAGAGAAATCCAGATGTTAAAGGATTTTTTTGAAAACTGGAAATTGTATGTTTCTCTGGATCCCATCATGTTGCACATATGGATTTTCTCAACTGCACTTTTTGTCAGATGATAGATTGCTTAGTTTTCCATGTTGCATATCTGAAAAGCTGTAATAGTTGCTCCAGGACACTTATAGTATTTTGCTCCAGTACACTTTTATAGTATTTTGCTTGTACTAGTAAGTGAAGGTTTTTGCTAGATATTTTGATAGGATATGCTTCTATTGGCTTCCATATCACTGTAGTTCTCATATATATATTTTCAAATATTGCTCCAATAACAGCCTCATTATGACAATACCAATTTTATCCAATTGATACAATTAATTGATACAATCCAATTAATGCCAATTATTCAAATGTCAAATTATAAAGTTTAATTAAACTGGCCCCATCGCATGCTAGAGTTGATAAGCTTATTCTTCTACATTTTTTCTGTGTTCCAAAATTTTAATAATTTTCATTCCTTTCTATTCAGATAAAAATATCCCTTATATAAGTTACAATTTTGTGATTTCAATTCGTGTTGGTATAATAGGTAATTTATAAAGTTTCAAGTGAGGATCTTTAGCTGTAATCGTTATTCTTTCCTGTGTGTGACGATGTCTTTCCATCCATATATGGTGTTGTATCCTTTATTCTTGCAACTGTTGATGGTTCCAGTCATGTCTTGGGAGAAGTTGTTATCTCAGAGTTTTCAAAAGTCACTACATCGCTTTGTCCTGTGATTTGGTTTCTAGTAAACAAGCCATCTTTGCCATTTTTCCAGCCTAGAAAGAACGGTCTGTATCCAGACTGCAGATAGTTACCGGTAATCCAGAAACTTCTGTTCTTGCAACTGGTAGACACCTTTCCTCCCTGCCACTGATTTATGGCCATTTATCCTTATCTCAAACACATTCTTTTGTGGATAATGGAGGTTAGGGTAGATTTTGCTCTATATTTTCAAAGCATAGCTTTTCTTCCCTGGTTCCCTCTCAGTTCCTTTCTCTCACACAGTTTCAATTTTGTTAAATTCCATATTATATTCCAATGTCTTCCATCCTTACTTGTGCAGATATTTAAAAATAAAACTTCCATTCTGGGGTGGGGTTGCTGTATCATAAAAGTAGAGAAAAACCTTAAGTAAGCAAACCGTGGGCTCCCCTCCCTGCATTGTCTCTTTCACCGAATGAAATCTGCTCTCAATCCAAACCTTTCACATCCTTGTAGCTGGGTTGTTTTTGCAGTTTCTTATCTCATCGTCTTTGGCATGTGCCTGTAGTTTTCTCCAATTAAAATCCAATTAACAGCCTAACCTGTGTTTCCAGGAACAGGATGGGGGGGGGGGTTCGCGGCAGCTGGAGTGCTCCGTGCACCCAGTACCTTTGCCTACCCTCGCATTCCATGGGGAAGCGAGTGCCAGACTGCCAGGCAAACTGCGGGTGAGAGCCTGGTTCCTCTTCCAACTGAAGAGGAATGCAGATAATGAAATCCCCTTATCATCATCTGATTATCTCAGTCTGTTTCTCTCCTGCGGTGTTGGGAGAGACCCCATTCCTGGTGCACCGGAATCTGGAAGCTATATCACTGTGATTCTTGATCCTGATGCTCCTCTTTGGCACAGAGATGGAATACAGAATAATTGCCATACCACATACCACACAGTAATGTACTGAGTGAATTGTTGAAAGATTGGTGCGGCTAATGCTGGCTCTCTAGGTGTACCTATGCCATACATTAGTACATTTGCCTAATTCACAAACTGCATTTTTTTAGAAGTAAACCTTTAAAATGCTGTGAGTGAAATGGCTTAATAAAGGAATATGAATTGAAATTCTAAGCTCTATTTCTCTTTTAAAATGCAGGCTAAATCATGACCCAAATAATAAGACATTATTTCAGTATTCACAATTTTTGTGCATTGAATATGCCACGTTTTGAGCTTCTGTTTATCTTTATTTATCTGCTAAAGGAAGATGACATGGATAAGAATGCATTTGGAGTTCTCATTTTAAAGCAAACTTAGGGTTATTTCAAAGTATTGTGTTTTGAAATTTCTGATACTGGTTTCGTAAGGAACCTACATAAACAAATTGTGGCTGTTCCCTTCAAAACATTAATCAATGCGACCCAGGACATCTGCTGTTTGCCACTTGTAATTTTTCAAAGGAGAAAAGATTAGACATGTGGCTGCTTTTCATACCACATATGATAAGCATGTGTTTCTTTCTTGGGAAACTGTTATTGGAAAACTGTTACTGGATTGCACACTTCTGTCCTTAGTCTCTGAACCTTTTTTTAAGTATATATAAAAAAGAGGTACTGCTAGGGAACTTTTAAGGTGAGGGCCTTTTCACACAATATAGATTTCTGTAAGTTATTGCTTTTGTGTAGATGAGCTCCTCAAACACATGATAAATGCACCCTTCTCTTTAATAGGTTGCACATTCCTGCCACATTTCTGTGCAGTAAAAAACAACTGAATGTTAAACTCTTATCAGTGTTGTGTACCAAACAATTATCTGTCTAGATAAACCTTCTTGCCTGAGGCAGCTTAAATTTGAGATCTGAATTTGGGAAATAAACATCATTTCTGTTTAGCATACTATCAATCAATCAATGAGCCAGTTATCCTTGATCAAATTCCACTCACCTTAGTAGGATTATACGTGCAGAATTGCTGGTTCCAGTCCTTAATGTTGAAAAATGGGCCTTCTGCAATGAATCAGTCATATGCTTTCCATTTTTAAATTGGCAGTGCTTTCTAATAAACTGTGAAAGAGTGTTAAAATAGAAAACACTGTTTTGAATTTGATTTGCCTTTTCTGCTATGCTGAATGACTATTCAGACTCAGGCAGCCAAATTCTCTACTGTAGTTGGTCTAGCCACCAACTACCTCTGGTGTTAAAGATAGGAAGACATGAAGTTCTGCCCCACATGCCATTGTTATTTCCTGCAGATTCCTTACTCCTTCTTTTTGCTAGTGCAACACTGGCAATTTGGTTGACAGTGCAGGCTGCTGAACCTGGGAGGGTGATGCATGGGTTCAAATAGCTGCTTATGCATGAAACTTGCTGGGCAATACTGAGTAAATCATTACCCTACATCAAAGGGTTGTTGTGAGGATAAATTTGGAAAACAGTGGAGACTTGATTCTGTCTCCCTAATATTTACCTACAAATTGACAGGATGTTCAATTTTTCTGAGGATTTATGCACTAAGTAAATCAAACTTAGGCTGATTTCAGAAAGCTTAAGGCACTACTGGGTCAGAAATACTCAAGAGAAGGGAGTCCTAGATGAATGGGTCAGCTAATGAAGGCACAAAGGCAGACAATTCCAGCAAGAAAGAAAAGGTCGAGGCATCTCTTCTTTCTTCTTCTTCGGCGATCACTCGTAGCCGAGTAAGATTGTCTTCCATAAACACGGTTTTAACAATGAGTCCGTAAGTGACTGCGGAGGCCAATTCTGGATCCACATGTCCTTCCCCAGTGGGGACATTGGTTTCTGGGAGGGAGCTGATCACGGTGTGGATTTGCCAAGCGTGCCTTCCTCTTAGCACATTTCTCCCTTGTGTCCTGAGTTCGAGTGTCTTCAAAGCCCATGACACCTTTGGTAAAGGCTGTTCTCCAGTTGGAGTGCTCGCAGGCCAGTGTTTCCCAGTTGTCAGTGTTATACTACAGTTATACTACATTTTTAAATATTTGTCTTTAAACCTCTTTTGTTGACCACCAGCATTACACTTTCCATTTTTAAGTTTGGAATAGAGTAGTTGCTTTGGAAGACAATTGTTTAAAGAAACTGGTGTGGCTGCATAAGGAGCTTACAGATGAGCTGAGAGTTAAGAAGGGCATGTGTAAGAAATGGAAGAAAGGAGGAGTGTACACGAGTAGTAAACATTTGGAGGGTGAATGCCAGGTGGGCTAAAGCTCAGAATGAGCTCAGGCTTGCAAGAGAGATTAAAAATAATTTTAAAAGTTTTCTGTGTTCGAAGCAAGAGGAAGAAGAAACAAGTGTTAGGTCCTCTGCATGGAGAAGATGGAGAAATGCTATTGGGTGACAAATACCCACTTTGCCTCTGTCTTCACCCAAAAGGAAAGCGATGCCCAGCCTGGAGATAGCATAATAAACTGATGTAAGGAGGGAGCAATTCTGTTATTCTATGATTAAATGTGGCATGGTTGCTGGTATAATATAGAATCATAGAATTGTAGAGTTGGAAGGGACCTGAGGATCATCTAGTCCAACCTCCTGCAATGCAGGAATATGCAGCTGCACCATAAAGCTATTGAACCTGCAACCTTGGTGTTATCATTCTCTACCATTCTCTAGCCAACTGAGCTATCCAGGCTTATATACGTGCTTATTTGTAGGGAATGGGAGTTAACTAGAATAATAAGGGTGGGAAAGTGTTTTAAATGTGCCAGCCCGCTGATGTGTTGGAATCAGTAAGCATGTGTTGCTTATTGGGCAGTGTTACTCAATGACATTGGTATGCCAAGTTTTCCTCTTCATATGCTCTGCTGCATTAGCAACATGCTGACAGACTGCTAGCTGGTTTATATTTTCATTCCTTCCTACCTTTTTTTTTTTTATTCCAAAGCTTCAAGGCAAGTAACATATTTAAAAAGGAATTTAGGTATACAATATAATTGAATTCAAATAGATTCCTTCCTCATTAACTCTTGCTGCCAAATGGGCAGCTGCCAATCTGCTAAAGGCTGAACATTTTCCAGAAGCACCACAAACCTTTCCACCCTTTGTTTTCTCTCCCTATTAAGACGAAAAGACTTCTAATGGCCAGTGCTTGATGCCTGGACATTTTAATTCCCTGCTGTTTTGCGGGTTCCTGGCATGTTTTAAACTTTACTATTTTAGCACAGAAGGTTTGGTGTAATTTCCAAGGGGTCAGACCAAATGAGGCAATTTAATTAAGCAATGACAAACCTAGACAGCATCTTAAAAAGCAGAGACATCACCTTGCCAACAAAGGTCCGTATAGTAAAAGCTATGGTTTCCCCAGTAGTGATGTATGGAAGTGAGAGCTGGACCATAAAGAAGGCTGATTGCTGAAGAATTGATGCTTTTGAATTATGGTACTGGAGGAGACTCTTGAGAGTCCCATGGACTGCAAGAAGATCAAACCTATCCATTCTGAAGGAAATCAGCCCTGAGTGCTCACTGGAAGGACAGATAGTGAAGCTGAGGCTCCAATACTTTGGCCACCTCATGAGAAGAGAAGACTCCCTGGAAAAGACCCTGATGTTGGGAAAGATGGAGGGCACAAGGAGAAGGGGATGACAGAGGACGAGATGGTTGGATAGTGTTCTTGAAGCTACTAGCATGAGTTTGACCAAACTGCGGGAGGCAGTGGAAGACAGGAGTGCCTGGCGTGCTCTGGTCCATGGGGTCACGAAGAGTCGGACATGACTAAATGACTGAACAACAACAAAATTATGCAATAAAAGGCTGTTCCAACTAAAGGGCTTGATTTACATATAGAAAATGGTCTTAGGGAAAGGGTTAAGTCACCCCAGCAGCTACTTTTATGCAAAGGGAGAAAAAAAACTTGGGAGATATGTGACTCTCCTTTCATGTTTCATGTTTTTTTTTCAGCCAAGTGGTGTTACCCACAGGAAGGAACTTAAAAGTTTCCCTAGCCACAGAATTATGTCAAGCAAACTCTCTCCCAGGCTGTAGGTGGTTAAAATCTTCTTGTTTTGCAGACCAGGGGTAGGCAGATAATTGTTCTGGAAACGGGTCTTTTTGTGGCCAAGTTGATGCTCTTAACTTAGTGTGTATTTCCTTTATTTTGGTTTTGCTGAGTTCTACTGTTCTTGATTTCTAATTGAAAATATATATGAGAGCATGGTTTATGACAGGGATGGCGAAACCTTTTGCAGTGTAACTGTTGCATTCCTGCATGGGAGACCTTTCAGGGACCATATGCTAGTTCTGGCAGGGCCAGATTTAAAATATATGACACTCGCCTTTGTATAGTAGGCTACATTCCAGTCACAAACAGGTTGGCTTTCTACACATCCACAAAATCTCTCCATCCATCCATCCATCCATCCAGGCAGGCAGGCAGGCAGGCAGGCAACTGAGGTATTATCACAGTTCCAGGACACATTCCCACCTCTACCCTGGCAGAATCACTCAAAAGGAGGGCCTGGAACAGAGCCAGTAAATATTGTGGCCTGGGGAGGGTCTGGGCAGCCACATTTAGCCCCTGTGACTAAGGTTTCCTACTCGTGCTTTACGAAGCAGGGTGGATATCTGAATAGAAATAAAATACGAGTCCATGTTGCTACGTGACTGAGGTCTTGGCGAACACTGAGTTATTCCACATTATGCAGGGTGTGATAATAAAGATTATCTGAATGCCTATTTGAAATACTTAGGGTGTAAAGTCCCTTTGGAGGAGGAAGATGTCAGCTGTGTTCTTTGTAAAGCACTACGTACATAGATGGTTCTATAAAAATTCACTAGTAATAATAAACATTGCAGATGTTTATAACAAACATTTACACATTCCTTTCTGCAAGACCCAGTTCTCACTGAAGTAGTAGAACTGCAAGTGTGTCTCGCATGATTGTTCTTTGACATGAAGAAAGTTCCAGGCACGTAGAAAATTAGTTCTAGCAGATAGATTGATGAAGATGTCAACCTAGGGTGTGGCAGCTGTGGAAAACGTGAATTCCGAGTTAGGAATCATTAGTCACAGGAACGAAAATGAAACTGTCAATATCATGATGCGGTTATACAAATCTTTGGTGAGTTTTGAACACCATCCTGGAAATACTGTGCACATTTCTGGTACATTTCTTACCTCTAAAAGGATATCATAGATCTAGCAGAAGTTCAGAGAAGATCAACCAAAATGATCAAGGGATTGGAGCAATTCTCCTATAAAGAAAGGTTACTGCATTAGCAGCTTTTAGTCTGGGGAAGAAAGGTGAGTAAAGGGGACATGATAGAGTTGTCTAAGATTATGCTTGGCATAGAAAAATTGGATACAGAGGCATTTCTCTTCCTCTCTTGTAATCGTAGAAACGGGTGCCATCAAATACAGTACTGAATGTTAGTATATTCATGGCAGCCAAAATAAAGTGCTTTCCCCACACACTGCACAGTTAAATGCTGGAATTCATTCCCAGAAGATGTTGTGATTGCCATTAACTTGGATAGCCTTAAGAGAGATTAGGCAAGGTCATGGAGGGTAAGACTATCAGTGACTACAAAAATGATGGCTATTTTCTGTCTTCCATTGTCGGGAGGCATTATACCTCTGAATACCAGAAATCACAAGTGGGGAGAATGCTGTTCCACTCAGGTCCTGTTTGCATGTTTCCCATGGGCATTTGGTTCTTCACTGTGAGAACAGGATGCTGGGTTTTGACCTGATAGCTTTTCTTACATTCTTGCCCAAATCACAGCACATCTTGTTGTATCTCAACAAGATACAAAACTTTTTTTATCATTATTCTCTCCTGATTAAATTGTGTGTGTGTGTTTGTTTTGGAGAGGGTTGTATGTTCTCTGTACTGATTTTGTGACGCGAAATCATAGTATTAGAAATGTTACAAGAAGCCCTAAAGTGCAGTCTTGAGTTTTGCATTAAAATTGGTTATGATAGTGATGTAATTTTGAGTCACCTTAGAATGTAATGAACACTCACCCTTTGGAGCAGACTGTTTAATACTCAGAGGCGTCAAGGAAACACAGCTGCCAAGGGACATACGAGGCTTAATTCATAGTTCTGTGAACTCCTTTTGCTCTCTGTGGTAGAATTTGACATCACAGTTACCTAGAATTGGATTTGTTCCAGGCCAGGTTTATGTGCTCTGCTGCTTTACTTGAAAATGTCTTTATTGTAAAGGGGATCTTCATAAAACAAAAAACTGAATGTTAAACTACTACATATGACTTTAAAATTATAACTGTAGAACAGTACAATGGAAGTGGAAGACTCCTCACCACTAAAGGAAGTACTTGTGACAAAGCACATAATGAACCTGGGGAATTTGCTGCCACAAACGTAGAAGGAGACTGGAAAAATCATGTACATGTCAGACGATATTTACAGCCTTTTGGCTATAAAAGGAACCAACCATGCTCAGAGTCAGAAACCAGACTGGACTAAATGGATAGTTTTGTACATCCAGCAGGACAGTTAATATGTTCGTGTGCAGATTTAAAGTGCTCTCACAATAGTCTCTTAAGCACACTTTATCTGTGCTTCTAATTTAAATATACGGTAATACCTACTTTGGCTATAATATAGAATACATTTTAAAACAGCTCTTTCACGTCTCCCCTGTTAACTGCATATACAACTTAAGGGAAACCACATGCATGTAGCCATTGAAAAGAGGCCTACTTTGGTGAGCTATTCCCAACCAGCTTACAATGTTTGCAAATACTTGACTTCCCGTGTGGCTTTTTGTTATTTTAAGGTTCCCTTGGGACAATTTCCCCGTATCTGCTTCACGTTTACTTGCTTTTCTCTTCCCTGCCCATTCTTCCCCACCGTTTTTGTATCATGTCTGTGGAATTGGAAGTGTGTGGGCAGGAACATCTTTTAATGTTCTGTGCAGCACCTAATCTGTTAAATTTAATCTGTTAAATTTATTTATTATAAAGCACTTAATTATTATTTTTTAACATCAACTACATTGTGAATACAAAGTGAACCAGAGTATGGTGAGGTTTACTTTTGCTGGTGCAAACCCATTTAAAAAAGAGTTCATTCTGAAGTGGTGCTCCTGCCATAAGAGAGCAGCCAAATGAAATGTTTGCCATGTAAATGCCCCTTCAACTCTTGACACAATCTGAGTAACCATTTCCTTCCAAGTCCTCTTCCCTCACGGCTGGTTGACAGTTACTCCCTCAAGTTGGCAGTTGGAACCAGGGTGGATAAAAATCAATGATTTTTTTTAAAAAAGAATTTTTAAAAATTGAATTTTTTTATTTAAATCAGATTCTTTTGATTTAAATTGGATTTTTAAAATAAAATGCTTTTGGAGGGAAAATATTTCTAAAGATAGTTTTCTATTTAAGTTACGTTATAGTCCAAAGGCTATTCATCAGGAAATAAGGATTTAAGTTTTTCATGTGTGCTAAAACTCAGTAGGTGTTTTTTTAAAAAAATTGTTTAACCACATCAGTTAACATGGATACATATGCTATAATGTTATTGTTTTAGTTAAATAAATTGTTTAAATTGTTACTAATGATTTTTTTCCTCGTTCCAATAAAGTACAGCAGAAAAGTTGTGCAAATATAAACAGTTAACTTATTAAACCTCATAATTATTTCATAATTATCTGTCTGTTTCTGATAGTATAACCAAATCAGTAATTTGTGATATAACTGTAAAAACTACTCTGAAAATTTATTATTCCAAAAATGATACCTTCATCTGGTTGTAAATATTAAGATTATACCAGCAAGAATGAGTCTTTCTGTAAAAAAATATGATTTAAATCAAGTCTTACTGACTAGTGATTTAAATCATGATTTAAATCAAATCCACCCTGGTTGGAACTGACAGTTACTCCCTCAAGTTGGCAGTTGGAACTGACAGTTACTCCCATGAGGTGTTGCTTAGCAATGGTGGAGGGAGGGCAAGACACCTTCTTTGAGATGTCGCTTAGTAATGGCAGTAGAGAGTTAATGAGGAAGAGATTAAAAAATAAAGAGCAAGGCCCTTTCTGCACTATACATTTAAAGCAGCATTGTACCACTTTAAACAGTCATGGCTTCCCCAAAGCATCCTGGCAACTGTAGTTTGTTAAGCGTGCTGTGAGGAGACTCCTGTCAGTGGCGGAGCGTATCTAAATAGCGCCAGGGTCAGGAGAATGGGCGGCAGCATTGCCACTAATAGCCTCATCATGCTTCAAGATATTGGGTATACTGAGTATCTGAAAAGTATTTGTGATGATCAGATTATGTTTGTAGGACTACAAAAAGTTCTGTGAGGAGTAATTTAAGAAATATTATAAAAATGGAAAAGGAGAAATGATTTGTTAGAAAAGGTAAAGGCAATATTAAGTTAAGAATTGCAGGAGAAATAATCAAGACGGAAGGCTATCAGAGATGCTGAGGGAAGTCCAAACAAGGACATATGTATAATAATTTGTGTGGTATGTCTTAAAAAAATTGTATGCTAAAAATAATAAAAATGTTATTAAAAAAAGAAGATTTTGGGCTCATCCAGACTTCTGCTTGTCTTGCCGCTTTCCTGCCGGGGAAAAAAAACACTCTTTAGCGCTGAATCAAAGCAAGCGCCAATTGGTTTTTCCAGTCGTTTGCTCCGGTTTAGTGCTAAAGAGCAAGTTTGCCCCTGGGAAACCCTCTCAGACTGTGCTTTCTAGGCGTGGGATAAGCAGAAGCATGTTTGAGCCCTCAGTCAAAGCCACCTTTTAAAGCCACCCAAGGAGACCCGTATTTCATATTCCCCTCACAGGATTTGTGGCTTTGGCAATCAATTCCTCTTTCCAGGGAACTCTGGACAGCTCTTGAGCAGCTTTTATTGCAGTCTTGTGCATTTATGTTCTGGAGTAAATCTACAGTAACTGTGTTGAGTGGCCTAGTAAATGTGTTTAGGATTGCAACCCCAGAATCTCCCCCCCCCCTTTTAATGCAGATTACTTCAAAATGTTTTACCAGTTCACACCCTCCCCCCTCAGTCCACCTAGAAAAGTTACAAAATAGTTGGTGCAACTAGGAATTGCTCTGGATAAGTGGCTAACTATAGAATTGCTCATTAATACCAAGGGCAGATCTACTAAATGCCTTAACAAATCAGTGTCAATGTTCATTTTTGGAACATGTCTATGGCCTTTTTGTGACAAAGACAATTCCAGAATCACCCGGTATACTCTGGTTCTTTATTTGCTGTGGTTAACTTCAGTAGCTGATTTTTAGCTCGGGTCCTTCACAAGGGAACAAAAATAAAGTAATGTTCCCTTCTCACTTTTGCCCACTGTGCTACAAAAAGTATAGTTTCAATTGTTTTCTGAGATCCTGGCTGCCGAAATCAAAATGCAGTCAACTTCTGCCTTCAGCTGTTGCCACACAGCTGTTTCACATTGCTGATTGTAATATCTCCCATTGAATTATTATGCCAAAGCCACAAATGCTGAAAATTATCCCCATTACTTCCAGTCTGATTACTATTAGGGCATCACCAATAACATGTTTTGTTTTTTTAAAAAAGGGTTTTAAAACTAAAATTATTCTTGTTCCTTTGCGCTCAAATACTGAGTTTTCATTTTGTAGTGTGGAGCAACCTGTTGCTTTTGGTCCACCTTTAAGAATTAGTAATGTGGTAGGTTTCTTTTTTTTATAAGTGTAAAGTCTACAAAATCTATTTTCCTCTGTCCTTGAACTGGACAGCGGCTTAGTCTCAGACTCCTCATTGTTGACTGACACTCTGCTGGAATGTCAGGAGCCATAATAACGTCCTTTGCAATGAAAATGCTGCTGCGTAAAGGGCAGTGAGAGTGTTCTCTTATAGCCTGCTAATTGACGGGGAACAATAGTTGTTTCCTTAATGGACCGTTAAGCAGATGTTAAACTAAAAAAAAAAAGCATGGGAAAAGAAACCTGAAGCCACAGCTGTCTCTAGACTCTAGAGGTCCCTTTGGGCATTCTCTGAACACACAGAGAAAACATATTTGATGTCGTGGAGCTGGCTTTGCGTCTGTGGGAGGGGTTTATTATAATTCTCCTTCTGGTGACTGACAGTTCTGATAATACTAGCATTGCCTATCTGTGCACCTATCTACTTCTCAATTGCATATGTAAAGGAACACCTTTAAAAAATACAAACTTCCGGTGGACTGTAAAGTGGTTCTGGAGCTTCTTACCAGGGCCGGCCCTCCCACGAGGCAGACTGAAGCAGCTGCCTTGGACGGTGAAATCCCTGGAGTCGCTTGGCAGCAGCTTCACTTCAAGATCTTGCAATATATATAATAATAATAATTTATCATTTATACGCTGCCCACCTGGCTGGGCTTCCCCAGCCACTCTGGGCGGCTTCCAACAAAATATTAAAATATACATCAAACATTAAAAACTTCCCTAAACAGGGCTGCCTTCAGATGTCTTCTAAAAGTCTGGTAGTTGTTGTTCTCTTTGACATTTGGTGGGAGGGCGTTCCACAGGGCGGGTGCCACTACCGAGAAGGCCCTCTGCCTGGTTCCCTGTAACTTGGCCTCTCACAGCGAGGGAACCGCCAGAAGGCCCTCGGCACTGGACCTCAGTGTCTGGGTAGAACGATGGAGGTGGAGACGCTCCTTCAGGTTTGGACCGAGGCCGTTTAGGGCTTTAAAGATCAGCACCAACATTTTGAATTGTGCTTGGAAACGTACTGGGAGCCAATGTAGGTATTTCAAGACCGGTGTTATGTGGTCTCGGCGGCTGCTCCCAGTCACCAGTCTAGCTGCTGCATTCTGGATTAGTTGTAGTTTTCCGGTCACCTTCAAAGGTAGCCCCACATAGAGCGCATTGCAGTAGTCCAAGCGGGAGATAACCAGAGCATGCACCACTCTGGCGAGGCAGTCTGCGGGCAGGTAGGGTCTCAGCCTGCATACCCTGGAAAGTGAGGCTTTGGTGTGGGCGACACCTTCCTATTTCACCTTGGGTGGTGAAACAGGATGGGCCACACTTCTTTCTACTATGCAGAAGTGGGCAGCACGGGACAGTTTTGTATCGAGGATTTATGTAAGTTAAGCATCCAAGGAGACAGGAGAAAGGAAAAAAAGTTGGCGGAGATTTATTACCTGACTTGAGAAGGCTGTATTTATATAAAGATAGAAAGGCAATATACACATGTTGTTGATATATATATATGTATATATATATGTGTATATATATATATGTGTGTGTGTGTGTATATATATATATATAGTATTTTTCCGTGTATAAGATGCCCCCTTGTATAAGATTCCCCGTATTTTTGGAACTCCAAATTAAGAAAACACCTCTCAGCACTACCCATGTATAAGACGAGCCCCAATTTTAAATTATTTTTTTTGGGGGGGAAAACCTAGTTTTATACACAGAAAAAAATTGTATATATAATACATTAGTATTTGCTGATCTGGATATGGTGGTCTTTAGTAGTGTTGTCCAATCTGCCCCTTGCATGCTACTTTCCACTGACATTGAACTTGTGCAAAACCTTTGTTTAGGTTTGTGCAGCTGCTAAACTTGCGTTATTATCCAACATTACATGTAAACCCTTTCACATACTACCCACTGAAAACAACAGGAGGGTAATTCCATTAAAATGTCAACCCACAGACCCATTTTTCATTTTCATATATACCGAACGTGCTCTTTATAAGCTTAAAGAACGTGCTCCGAAGTTCCATCTGGTAAGCAGCTTTTCAAGATGACATTTTACATACAACTTAGAATTTTTCTACTCCTCTCTCAAGTATTGATTTTTCTCTAATAGAGCCCCCACTCTTTTTCTTGATGTATATACAAGTTCCTACCAGTTTCCACTCAGATGGGTCAAGGAGTGGGAGGCCCAGCCTGATGAGCCGGGCTGAACAGGTGGACTCATTTACAAATCCAAAACTTCACCTTCGGAGCCAAAGGCTTTTTACCTTGCCTCACAGGGTGACAGTACAAATGTAGAAATGTTGAAGGCAGTGTTGAACACAAAGTGTAAATGGATATTTCACATATTTTAAAATGAACACAGGGGAAGATGTCCTCATAGGAAATATGATTACAGTGGTACCTCGCAAGACGAATGCCTCGCAAGACGGAAAACTCGCAAGACGAAAGGGTTTTTTGTT